AATCACCCTGGACCTATTGCGCTGTTTCTGTAACTTAATTTTTGCCACGAATGCTTTTCCAACGTAATTTGTCCGCGTCAGCTCACATTACAGAAAATATATTTTTCTGAACTCTGCATTGTTTACGTTTGTGCACCGTTTAGTATTTCTTTCCCAAACACAGTTGTTTTTGCTTTGATTTCGAATCGCTTGCTTTTGTTCCGATTAAATTTTATGAATCGTCGTCCACTACTTTACTTCTTTAGTTTAATGCGTTTAAATTTAGATTTAAAATTTAAACGCATTAATGCGTTTGTCATGTTTGTCACCCAGCTCCCCTCTTACAAATGGTGTTGTAAACTCTCACACGGTGAAACAAAACACACTTCAGGCTGCCTGCAACACGTTTATGTGCATGAATGGTGACGGATGAACCGGCTGCGAATTCTGCCCAAGAGCCGTCGTTGACTTCATCAAGATCCTCCCCACCCAGCGCGAGTCTTGGGCTGATGTTCGTTGCAACCCCCGGTCCTATTAAAAACTTTACTATCTTTTTTTATTTCACCATGGAAGGCGCCACTGAGCTCCATAGCTCATTTTTCAGAAGCGACCTGGCTATCCACAAATGATATCCCAAACGCAGTGGCTTATCATCACGTGGAAATGTATAGCAGCCAAAAACTCTAAACACTTGACGAGTCTAAATGTGGAGGGGAAAAGCCGGAAGACCCGGAGAAAAATTCACGCGATCACGGGGAGCGAGAGAGAGACACACAAACTCCAAATATATAGCAGCAGGCGTCCGGGTCGGGATCGAACCCACGACCTCCTGTATACCAGGAGAGGTAGTTGACATCTCGCCACCGCAGCGTCCACGCGAACTGATGATGGGCAATAGGGGCTTTGCACGACGTTGACATGACACATGACGTCGCGAATGGACTCTGGCAGAGACAAGGCAGCGAGCGGCAGCCTAGGGGCACATTCCGTCAAAGATACGGGAACCATGTGAACACGGCAAACAAACCCACGGCCTCAATATACCACCAGTACGAGGAGCCCCCACGTGTGGAACAATGATGGCAAGGGTGCCCAGATATTGATATAGAAAAAATCAACAAAGGTAAGGATCCAATGTATAGCCTCATAAGTTGGGGGAATGAACTGGTGTCTCTGGGTTCGTAGCACTAACCACATACATTGACATGCACAAAGTACACATTCAATCTGTTTGTAGCAAGTGAGGTTGCATGCATCTCCGATGAGCACGGCTAGCTACGTACGGTGCGAAAAAAATGCATGCATTTGAATAAGGTGATTTCCTGTTACTTAAACATGCAACCCCAGCAAATCAGACCGCTTTTATAACACACACACACGTGCACCCAGGGCGCATGGGTTTGTGTCGGTTGATTAGATTCACCCCCCCGTAAACAATGGTAGGCATGCAACGTTGGCCCAACGTTGCATGTCTACTGGGACAATTGTGTACATACGTTTGTAATGATAATAGAGCCTGCATGCGGTGTGAGTGCACTAGTGGCCACGAGAGGTAATGACAGGGGAGTCAGCCTGCAGTGCGAGTGCACTAGTGGCCACGGGAGGTAATGACAAGGGAGTCAGCTTGCAGTGCGAGTGGACTGGTGGCCATGGGAGGTAATGACAGGGGAGTCAGCCTGCAGTGCGAGTGGACTAGTGGCCACAGGAGATAATGACAGGGGAGTCAGCCTGCAGTGCGAATGGACTGGTGGCTACTGGAGGTAATGACAGGGGAGTCAGCCTGCAGTACAAGTGAACTAGTGGCCACGGGAGGTAATGACAGGGGAGTCAGCCTGCAGTGCGAGTGCACTAGTGGCCACGGGAGGTAATGACAAGGGCATCAGTTGTGAGTGCGAAGGGACTAGTGGCCACGGGAGGTAATGACGGGGAGTCAGCCTACAGTGCGAGTGAACTGGTGGCCACGGGAGGTAGTGACAGGGGTATGAGCCGTGAGTGCCAAGGGGCCGGTGGCTACGGGAATGATCGAGAAGGCAGCGTGGTCAGGTGAGGGAAGAGGACGGTGGAGTCTGTCGGTGGAGCGAGTGTCCAGAGTCAGCGAGAATGATCGAGAAGGGGGGCGTGGCCTCGTGTCGGTATATAAAAGGGAGATGCGTGGGAGACTCGGGGCTGTTGCAGTAGGGATCTCTGCCTGATGTCAAGTGAACGTGTCTTCAATATAGTGTGTCAAGTCGTCATTACACGTACGTAGAAGTGCGTAAGCATCGATTGGTATGTTGCTGTGTAAAGCGTTCACGTGACCCCTTCAGTCACTAGAGGCCGCTAAATTCAACAAATTTCAGTAACTGATTCTTTTGTGACCATGAATTGTTGAAATTCGTTACATTACTGGGGGAGTGGTGAATCACTGAAACCTCGATAGGGCCAATATGACATGGACTGTTCAACACTCATTTGAAACTTCATGAGTAAGAGGGGGGGAAAAGAGACTTTAAAGTTACGGTCAAGTGACCCATTTTGTCACTAGTAACATCACTGTGACCCGCTACTCTCATACCGTTGAATGTAATCGATGCAGCGATATCACTTGAGCACCATGGCAGCCCCAGTGAAAACATGTTGCAACGTTGGTACCAACCCAACATTTCACGTTTCCCCGGAAACCATTGGGCTACTGTTTGTTTTCTCATCAGCAGATCCTCAAACTTAGTTTGAACCTGACTGAACTAAACTCGGAAGCAATACTGACAGCAGGCTCACGTTAAAATGGTCTCATGTCCAGATAAATAGCACTTGTTTTCGGCCACATGAAACCATTGGTTACAATTGAGTTGCAGCACCTCAGGTGTTACCAGTTTTTGTATGTACATTTAACTTCTTTCGCACCGTACGTAGACAATCGGAGGTACTTTGACCCATGGACTGCTATCAACTAGGTATGTGAAGGCCCGGTCCATAGATCGTGAAATATAGAACTACATGTGTATCATCAATCACATCGTCATCATCGGCAGGCGATGGCTGCCCAGTGTCCCTTGGCAAGCAGCAACATCTGAATGCAAATATCAACTACAATTATATTCTTGGTTCTTTCGGTAAAGTCACATAGAAGGGAAACAATAAAATAATAAAAATATAAAACAATAAAATTACCACGACGTTTCGACTGCAACACAAGCAATCATCATCAGGTGTGAAAACCACAGCAAGAAAGTTTTGTGGTTTTCACACCTGATGATGATTGCTTGTGTTGCAGTCGAAACGTCGTGGTAATTTGATTGTTTTATATTTTTATTATTTTATTGTTTCCCTTCTACGTGACTTTACCGAAAGAACCAAGAATATGAATCCCTGCAGTCACGAGAGCTTTAAATCAAAATCAATTGCAATTGTTTAGCTCCCTCTGGTGGATGTGAGCATAACGTAAACCAATACATCTGCAAAAACATTGATATGCAGCAAGTTCAGCACTTGGAATAACTAAAGTTCATAACAACTATAAAAATGTATGCTATCACTAATCAAGATATTTTCATTAACCAAACTCATTTTGAACATCTCTGAGAAAAGAACCCTCACGTCGTCTTTCCAGGTCGGAGTTCAGACAAACAGGGGGCACGGCCAAAGGTGTCATGGAAGATGGATCCATGATGTTGGAACTCATCTCACGGAGGGTCTGTCGCTGGTACCAGCGAGACGGCCTTGTAGGACGACGGTCGTGTGTATGTTGAACTTCTTCCGCACCGTACGTAACCAACCCTGCTAATTAAAGCAGTTTTAAATAAATTTGTTTTCAATCTAGGTGTATCATTGCCCCCTCCTGGCAGACAAATGTCTATTTGCAGGCGAGGTGCTGAGTCACCTTGTGCCCACAGGGACAGTTGCCTCTGGGGGTGCCCCCTTTCAAACGTTTGAGATGAGATGGGATGTGAGAGATGCCCCCAGAATAAAGGCCTCGATATGAAAAACAAACCATTATCGTATAAGCACAATCTAGATACAAATATTGTCAATATTATACAGTACCAGGAGACGGTGGTCTACTGAGTGTAGGGCCTGAGATGGATTGTACGGGGTAATGAGTTCCGAGGGCACGTCCATGGATCGCCTTAAATGTCAGTTTCTGTATCCATGTTTTGAAATTGATGCATTGTTACATACATTAATTAATGAAAAATACAATAGCTAAATATGAATTTGATTTCATTAAAACATACAAATCGTGTTTCAGACAATTGTTTACCAAATATCTCCGCTTTGAATATCAGCGATATGGCACAGCAGGCCGGATTCAACAATGGACTAAAAACGGCCCAAACAAAAAAAAATATCCCACCATCGCCTTGAAAAGATCCGTTCATGCAGCATCCAAGGAATGCTTTTGCCCGTCCCGTTAATTTACATCGATGCCGACGTTGCACACCGCAGCGGCAAAGCGCGAGACAACACGTGCGGTGGCAGCAATGCCCCGTGCAGGAAGCCTCAGCCACGGCACGCAGAGAGCGCCTCACTGCACGTGACTAGGTGGCACGCGTTGCAGTCACCTTGCAAGCGCTCCGAACTCAGGGGTGTAATGGTGAAATCGATTCGTATTAAATTGCGAATCTAAACATAGCCGATATTCAATCGTACGTTGCCATATGGGGGGAGCAGGCGTTCGGTAGATAGCACATGGGACTATGAACCATGCGCGTACCTGAGTTTGATTCCTGGCCACGGCTAACATCAGTGCTGCGTGATATTCGAATGTGTCCCCTGACCAGCGTGATGAAGTATGGTCAACCCCCCGCCCCCCCCATAAGCCATCACTGCATTGGGAGGCTTGGGGAGGCCTTCATCCAGCGGTGAATTGACAAGACATTATTGTTATGGTGTTGCATTAATGGGGTTCATGTGACCCTTGAAGCCATTAGATGTCACAATGCGCTTAATTCGTGAACCTTGATTCACCGTTAACCCTTCATGCCTGCACGATGATCGCAGAAAGACGAGCCTTCGTAAGGATCCGGCAAATAAGATTCCACGCCAGTGCCGGTTTACCCTTTATTGCACAGTCCATGCACAGTCTGTGTTTTATTTTATTGTCAAACAAACGGACGCTTAGAAGTATTACACAGAGTAAAACACACGCGAGGAGGTTCCCTACACTGTGGTCAATCCGATAAGATACATTCAATAGACAGAGTTACACCGATCAAGTATGGGTAGTGGTACTTGGGTGCCTGGAGTGGGCTATAGGTGTAAAAAAAAAGTAGTGTAAAAATGGGCAATGATATGCAGTCTATGTATTTCACTAAAACATCGTAAAAGCTGCACATGCCTACGTGTATATCTAAGAAGAGTACAGTAATTGTAACGTCACCTACTGCGTAGTCTATAGTTATTGCTTATATATAGCGACGGTTACATACAAAAATACAAACAGATCGTACACCTTGTTTTGCGTGAGTGTGTACTTTAAGTTTCCCGAGGAGTTATTCACTTCTTCGTCGGGCAGAGTCTTCTGGTCCTGAAAGACGTTCAATGGGAGAAGATCTGTCAAAAGGTCTGTCACCAGCACCAGCTGGATGGGCTGTTTGGACCGCCAAGATGAAGGAGTCTGCCGATCGTAAATGCCCGCGGCGGTTTGTATGGTGTGACGACTTGGCTAAGATATGCAAACATCCAGTTTATCTTAAACATCAGTATCGCCACTTTCAAAATGACGCATCAAGACCTTTCAATGGATATAATCAGAAAAGCAATAACAATCGTGTAATTCAGAGTGTGCCCGAAGTTCCGCGGACATGAATGATCGTGGCTCGGACCCAAGAGGCGTGTAGCCAAGCTTAGGTGTCCCTCGAAACCCAAGCATTAGAGGTGTGGGGCCTTTAAGAGTTGGGGCCTTCAAGAAAGAGGTACTGTAAATGGGTAAAACCTTCATGGAGATAATGTGGTTTTGTTAAGCAAACAAATATATATTTACATTCGTCCATTTGCCCGGTTGAGATATTTGAGGCGGTGTAACTGGTTCAAATTCCTCCGTGGTCATTTTTGCAGCAAATTATTTGAAAATCACTTTGAATGAGCCACCTGTGAAACAATGTACTCTCATTTAGCAATTAAAATACATTGATACGCTTAATATTTCGCCACATTATCTGGTACGAATTTCTGCACTGTGACCGTGAGACCTCGATAGGAACCAATTCCCGCACCTCTGATTGGCACGGTTGGCTAAATATGGTGAGAAAATAAGTTCAACGCACAATCCCCTGGAACCCAAACGCCGATGCCAATTTTCCCAGCCGTCCGGGTCAATTCCCAGGTCAAATCGAGACAGGTGGTAACGGCGGGCGCAAGGCTGTGTGACCTGGTTTGTCAGTCTGGCAGTCGCGCCATAATCCACTGCTGTATCTCCCGCAGCACGGCCTCCTTCACGTCGGGCAGTTCGCGGTGCAGCACGTGGTACGCGCCCTCGTACATCTGCAAGAGCCGCGCGCGCACACAAACACAAAATGCAAAGGTGTTGGTGTTCTACATGTCAACATCAGAGGGCTTGTGATTAAATTAAGTCAACTAAAACTAGAAGTGGCAAATCTTGACCCGGACATTTTTTTGCCTAACAGAAACATTTCTCACTCCTGCCGTCAATGACTTGCAGATTACGATTGGCAACTACAACCTTTTTCGGCTTGACCGAGGATCTAAAGGAGGTGGAATTGGCATCTATGTTCGTAATACTAAAATGTTGCCTTGAAGGTTTGGTTCTCAGAATAACTCTCCCAAATAATCAAGAGATATTGGTAGTGTGCTGCTATAGACCGCCTAGTGGGAAGGATGTTGAAGCTGCATCTGCACTGAGAGAGCTTTTTGGGGGCCTCCCTAAAGGTGAAATAGTTTTAGTGGGTGATCTAAATTGGAATTGGCTAAACCCGCCGGCCGTGGCCACAAATTTAACAGATGAATTTAACCTGTTTCAATTAATAAATGTCCCCACAAGACCCAACGTAAAAAATTCGGGACAGCCAACTCTGCTTGACGTCCTATTGACAAATGCCCCTCACAATTTCGCACTGACTGGTGTTCTGGGTAATAACCTTAGTGATCACTCCTTCATTTTTGGGGTGAGATCATCAGCCAGACCCAAAGCCCCCCCTAAATTGGTTGAGAAGCACTCTTTGAGGCACTTCAGCACTCAGGCATTTACTAATGATGTGCCTCACTCGGATATTGACAAGGTCTGTGATATCCCCAACCTGACTACGTTTTGGGAGACTTTCAGGTACACGTTTCTCCAAATTCTTAACAAACATGCTCCGTTGGTTAGATTTAAAACTAAAGGCAAAGCTCATGAAAACTAGGGACAAGGCTTGGGCATGTGCTCAGAAAAGTAATTTGGTCAATGACTGGCTTGAATACAGGATTTTAAGGAATAGATGCGTCAAAAAAATATGGCATGCATAAAATGCCTACTTTTCCTCAACTCTCCTGGAATCACATGGAAATGCCAGGATTTTTTGGAAAACAATCAAATGTATTGAAAAGGCATCCAAAACAGACAATCTGCCCGTTGAGCTTAACCGAAATGGGGAATATTTTTCAGATCCCCAAAAAATAGTTGACAATTTTAACCTTCATTTTTCTGAAGCTGATAATCTTTTTGATAATGTATTGGGAGTCACCCCTGCTCATGCAAATTCCTACACCCCTGTCCAAACATTAAACGAATTTAGTTTCCAGCCAATCCACGAAAGTAATGTTCTGAAACAACTGTCCTACCTCAAAGGGTCCTCCTCTACCGGAGCAGATAGTATTCTCGTCTTTGCTCTACTAACTGATGGTCACCTAATATACAAACCTATAGCCCATATTTTCAACCTGTCCATCAAAGAAGCATCAGTTCCTCTAGAATGAAAACATTCCTATGTCCGTCCACTTCACAAAGGGGGCCCTAAAGATGATCCCAATAACTATCGACCTATCTCAATTTTGTCCCCATTGATGAAATTTTTTAAAAAATTATTTAACTACCAAATTAGCAGTTTCCTGTCCACCAATAATCTACTACATTTAAAACAATCTGGGTTCCGAAAAAAATACAGTACCACATCTGCTGCATTAGACTCTCTGAATCAAATTTACAGTAGCCTTGATAATAAGCAGTACTGTGCCTGTATTTTTCTTGACCTGTGCAAAGCTTTTGATACAGTAGACCACAACACCCTGCTTAGTAAACTAAGTTGCCTCGGTTTTTCCGAAAACACAGTAAAATGGTTAAAAAATTACCTCTTTTCTCGCACCCAAACTGTATTCACAGATGGTTGGAGGTCAAACAGTGTTAAGATAACAAAAGGGGTTCCACAGGGTTCCATCCTCGGCTCCCTCTTGTTCTCTCTTTATGTCAATGACTTGGGCACTGACCTGGATCATTCCAGGGTAAATCTTTTTGCAGATGACACGATATTGATTACTGCTGGCCGCTCTCCGGATGACGTGATTGCTAAGCTCCAGGGTGATTTCAACAAACTACAACATCAGCTAGTTGCTCTTAAACTAGTCCTGAATACCTCCAAAACCAAGGTGCTATGCTTCTCACCGGGACTAAAGCAGGAAGTTATTTTTCCCCAATTACATTCCTTAAAGAATTATCAAATAGAGCAAGTCAAGATCTATAAGTATCTTTGGGTCATCCTGGATTCAAAAATGAATTTTGAAGATCACATTGATTATATTGGTCAAAAGACAAAAATAAAAATTGGTTTTCTGTATCGACACAAGCACTGCTTCCCCCCTATGTTCCGTTTGGAATTGATAAAAGCTATCATACTGCCTCTACTTGATTCCTGTGATATCGTGTATAAATCAGCCACAAGTACTGTACTGAAGAAACTTGATTCCATCTATCACTCGGCCTTAAGATTTGCATTGAACTGCCCATATAGGACTCACCACTGTGATCTCTACATTGGGTCAAACTTAACATCTCTTAATGTTCGACGGCTTGTGCACCAGATCTTATTTATTCACGATGTACTTACAAAAAAATCCGCAGACTACCTGCTGGATCTCCTCTCTGTTTCAAAGAACAAATTTGACCTCAGGTCTTCGCTCATTTACCAGCTTCACATTCCTTATTGCCGTACAAAAACTAGAGGAAGGGTCTTTGCTATTGATGCCCCCAGGGTCTGGAATGCTATTGCCAATAAACTGCAACTCGAATCACTACCTATGAGATCTTCACTCAAAACTGCTCTAGAGGAGTTGTACACCCCTAGCTGCCACTGCTATTCAGTGGCCTAAAATAAAATAAAATGTTTTGCTCCGGATGACTGCTGCAAAGTATTATCTGTATTTTTATTTAGTGTGCTGATCTTAAAGGTGCATTGAAAAATGTGATACTCCGACTGATGCTCCTGTTGTTGTGGAGTGACTCATGCAGCCAGCTATGGCTCTAGGGTTTGGTGTTACATGTTATTTATGTAGTTTATTGTTAAAAATTCGGTCACAGTCCCTATGATCACTGTTACATTGCATTTATGGCTTTATTTTGGTGATTTCGAAAACGTCTTTTGGTTTGGCCATGTTTTTGTTTGTTGTAGTACGGAGTTAGACTGATGGCCTTAATCTAAGTTGTCTTGTGGTTGTTGTTGTTTGACTTGCATCCCACTGGGATTTTTGGTGTACGGTGCTTTTTCAGGAATATTTTGATGTTTTTTTCTTGGATTTTCTGTTTTGCACAGTCACACATAAAGTCACTTTAAGACGTTTTCTTGTTCATGTTTTTGTTTTTTTGTTTGTTGCGGTTACACCCGATTCAAGAGCCAAATGGCTCACAGGGCTATGCCCAAATAAATGGAACTGAAATGGAACTGAACAGACTGTTGGGGCAAGTGCCGTTGGCGAGTAGCACCTATGAAGGCCGGCACGGTACACGGATCAAGGGTAGGGTAGCCAGGGGTTAGGAGAAGGTCGTGCCTCACCCTGATGGTCTTGTCCGTGCTGGCGGCCTGGTCGTACAGCATCTGGGAGCCGGCTGGGTCGCACAGCTGATCCCTGCTGCCGTGCAGCAGCAGGAACGGCCACGACACGCTGGGCATGAGCCGCGCGAGGAGCGACACCGTGTGGAGCAGCCTCACGGCAAACGCCACGCGCACGCGGCCGTGGTAGACCAGCGGGTCCGACGCATAGTCCTCCACCTGCCGCACACGCACACACGCACACACGCACACACGCACGCACGCACGCACACACGCACACACAGACAAAGACAAAGACAAAGATCCCCCATATAGCCTTAACAGACTGTAGGGGCAAGTGCTGTTAGCGAGCACCTATGAAGGCCGGAACGGTACACGAGGGGGTGGGTGTCCAGCACCACGCCCGACCGCCTTTGTCTCCCTAGTGGCAATGTTTACACATCGCACCAGGTACTCATTTGAGGCTGAGTCGACCTAGGGGAGGTCCGGGACCGGTTCAGATAATCGTCACTGGTGTTGGCCGTGAGCGGGAATCGAACCCGGGTCGCCAGGTTCATAGCGCAGCGCGCTAACCGCTACACTATCGCACACCGACACACACACACGCACACAAACACGCACCCGCCAAAACCGACACGCACAGAGACACACACGCCCACCCACACCGACACACACAGAGACACACACATCCACCCACCCACCCCGACACACACCAACACACGCCCACCGACACACACAGAGACACACACATCCACCCACCCACACCGACACACACCAACACACGCCCACCGACACACACAGAGACACACACACCCACACACACCCACCCACCCGCAGCGACGCAACACCGACACTATGCCCACCCACACCGACACATACACATGCCCACCCACACCCACCCACAGCGATGCACATCGACACACGCCCGCCCACACCGTCACACACAGAGACACCCACAGAGACACACACACCCACGCCCACCCACACCGACACACACCGACACACACTGCCATCGTTTTCACAGCCCCTCTGCACCGGGCCGTGCCGGCCCAGAGTATATTAATAGTAATTTTCCCTGAATATCTGTACTACCAGTGGCATTAATATTTGTTATGTATGTATGTACGTCGAACTTCTTTCGCACCATACGTAGCCAACCGTGGTAATCGAAGGTGCGGCCGAAGGACAACAAACTAAAACACAACAATTAGTTCTGAAGAAATGAGATTTCAATTTAGATTACATAAAAGTGCACAGCTCCCGTGGATTCCTAATATCGGAAGAGCGTTCCAGACGGCCGCAGAAGCGCATCTGCAAGCGCGCGATGCGGTGACCATCTTTGTTCTATGGTCAGGCCATGCGGGCATTTGTTCTCCCCTTACTTCTGAACCGTCGGTCAAGTCACCCGCAATGCGACCGATCTCAGCAGATCTCGGAAGCTCAGCTAAGCTTGGATAGTGCGTGGTAGGGTGGCCACCACGAATGCGTACAACAGGTGCCCGAGGCTACCGTGGGAATACGTTGTCAGCAGTGAGCAGTGCAGAACAAATACACTCTTGTTCTGCGCTACGCTACGTCCGTGTTACTTGTCTTCACCAACGCACACTCATCAGCGTGGTGAAGTATGGTCAAATAACCCTCTCGATCTGCATGGTGTGGGGAAGTCATCATGCAGCAGTGGATTGTTCTTATTTATACCGTAAGGGGAATTAATCATTTGTGCCCAGCAAAGAGCGTTCGTTCGAGTGAGGATTAGGTGACACACTACTTTTGGTTAAATTTAAAGGGCATGCTGGATGGGCAACTATTTCACAAGTAACTCAGGAAAGTGGCATTAAATTAGGGGTTTAATTGAAATGCACGGATATAGACTTAGACGCAAAGAAAGATTCATTTATTACGGAAAAATATGATTATTCGTAAGGGGAACCAACATTGATTCCCCATTGTAAACAATACAGTCCAGGGTACTTCAAACATTTTTTTAACACTTATATGGGACGAAAATAAATGTATGTTAATAGCTTCAAAAAGTCAAAGAGTCTCCACGTGTTCGCCATCGTTGTCAACACGTGTCTGGAATCTTCTCCAGGTGGTCTCCAGAGCCTGGAGGCAACACATTTCTCGTGGTATTGTTGCAAATTCTTCGAAGTGTTAACATTTTTTGATGCACACTGTATTTACAAAATGTTGGTTCCTTTGGGGATAGAGCGGGCAGCTTTGCAGCACAGTTCCCATGGCCCATGGGGACGTGGCGAGAGGGCCTGGCTTCACTCTACCTCCCCGGCTCTCACTTCAGTCGTCACTTTTGGTCGGAGGGTGATTTATTTTGACCCAATTTTTACTCTTGTGCGGTGGCTGAAATACGTTGCCACGTTTCTGGTTTTCGTTTACAGCGTTCCCTCGTTGTACACGAGATTTCTACGCGTTATTTTGGCTATCCGTGAATCGCGTCTGGAACTCTACACAACTTCTGTATCGAGAGAGAGAGAGAGAAGGAAAGCGATGAGATAAAGCGACGAGAGAGAATGTAATGCGAGAAAGTGTTGAGTTAAATTGATGAAATAAAGTGATGAGATAAGGTAATTCATTTAGTAACTATTATGGAATACTTACAAATTTACTTTATTTTGACTTAAAACTTTTGTGACTGCAGGTATTCATATTCTTTGGTTCTTTCGGAAAAGTCACGTAGATTGAAAATAAAAATAATACAAATAATACTAAGGATAAAAAATAAAAAAGAGGTTTTATAATTTTTTATCAATTATTATTTATATTATTTTATTTCATTATTTTCTATTTACGTGACTTTACCGAAAGAACCAAAGAATATAAATTGACTTTACGTTTACTATAACCAATTTTTATTTATTGTGTTATTTTAATTTTCATGGAAAGTTATTTAATCAATAAACTATTATTGAACACTTTAACATTAATTTTTATTTACTGCATGATTATGATAACCAATTTTTAAGCCATTATAATGTTCACGTATTTAATAGTTTGTTTATTCATTTAAGGTAATTCGTTTGATAGGCCAACATCATCATCCACGAAATGTGTGATTCGCGAGCATCTCCGGAACGTATCCCTCGTGAATAACAAGGGAACGCCGTACCAAGGTCTCCGCTTACAAAGCATCTATGAAGCATATATGGGCCTTCAGCTTGGCACATATTTACATTTGTAGAGGGGCTCTCTTGAACTTTCTCGAGGTGGGTCCCTGGCGCCGGTCGTGGCACGAGCAATTCACAGCTCTCGCCACGACTGGCGACATTGATTTCCAAATTGTAGATATGGAAGTCGTATTGTCTGCTGCTTATTTATCGTGTTACTTATATTCTCTGCAATCACAAGAATAATACATTCGTGTCCAGAATCAGAATATTTATTTATACAAGGGGGAATCCGATGAGCTCTGAAGCTCTGTTTCACAGATGTCTAGTAGGGACGGGTCAGATCGTTACAACAACAAACAGTGCAAAAACACGATAGGAGTGCAAAGTATAAGAAATGTAAACAAATGACTTAAAATATATCAAAATAAAACTAAGCAATTTTTTTTTGTATCTTACCAGGTAAGACCCACTGAACTATTAGCTTCTTTTTGAGAAGTGACCTGGCCACAAATAATAGTTCGACGAAGTGGCTTATCAAGTGGAAATTTATAACAGCAAAATAATCGAGATAATCTATTCGCATGTTTCGAAATGTGGAGGGAAAAACCGGAGGACCCGGAAAAAAAAATCCACGCGACTATGGGGAGAACACGCAAACTCCAAATAAACAGGCGTCATGATCGAAGCCCCGACCTCCTGCATACCAGGCGAGGAGGATAACATCACAACACCGTGGCGCCAACGCTTAAATAAACGAACAATAAAGTATCATTATTGTCATCGTCAGCATAACTGTCGGCTGCCTGTTACACTTGCAGCATCCTCCGCACGTTGCGCACCCTCCACCGTAAATGATCTTACCTCTCTCGCGTCTCGGGAGAGCAGGGAAGGGTCGAGAGAACCCAGCGGGAAGTTTGGGCAAATGCAGCTGAAGAACTTCGCCATGAGCACCTGCGGGGGACGACGCACAGCGTGCAACAATCCGCCGGCGTTCTTCAATTGCGAGGCTCGCGGGTCACGGGCAGGCCCCTGGTGGCCTTCGGTGCGGCCCCTGACCCGCGGCCCCTCGACGATACACAAACAGTGAAAACACCCCCCATCATAATCATCATCATCATAATCATCATCATCATCATTGTGCTGCTGTCAAACCCCCACGATGGTTTCACATTTTGTTGATGACGACTTACCGGCGAAAGTGCCCTCACATCCCCACCCACCCCTTCCTTTCTGAAAATTAGTGAAGAACACCGCGGTGAAGTTGCAGCAAACTGCCGACAATTTACTGAACAGCAATTCCCCGTAAGGCGCTTGCGTTTGGCGGGGCACGGCCCAGCTCGACCGTGTCCTATCGCGGGAGGTAAAAGGCTATGGCCTGCAATGAAACTCGCGAATGCCACCGCTGGCTGAAGGACCTCCGCTCGAGGAATTCCCTCCACAGAGTGCTTTGGCCTACTCTTCCACGCTGGCCGGACGTCTTGGAAGAGGTGGCAGTACCCACACGTTATCCCACCCGCGTGCAAACCTGCCGATCGACGAAAAGTTGTTTTACCCACGCGTCACGGCTCATCTGCTGTTGCTGCCCCCGAAGGTGTGAAATGTCGTCATCCTGACAGTCAGCATCGCCGATTCCACGCCCCCGTTCAAGTTCAGCATCAAGACTTCCCTCCCTCTTCTCTGTCCAGGACTGATTTGTCTCTGCACCACCAATCGGCTTCATTGACACCCTGCCATACCACTCGTTCTCAGCCACAGCCCTCGTTCCCTTCTTCCTCGCTCCGCATGTTTCCAAATTGATTACTCCAAATCTCAGCTATTGTATAGGCGAGGGAAGACCTCACCACTAATATGCATCTCCAACAGGAGCGATTTCATCTGTTTACACATGGTAGTTTAGATATTAAGTCGAAACACCAACCACCATAACGAGCGTTCCCCCTAATTGTACAGCATCATGAGATGCGGCCAAATTTAAGTTACACACTATCCTCTTTGGTTCTTTCGGTAAAGTCACGTAGGTATTTCTACCCACGTGACTTTACCGAAAGAACCAAAGAGTATGGATTCCTGCAGTCACGAAAGCTTCAAATCAAGATTAAAATACACAGTGTGTGTATAGATACAGTATACATAACTGCTCAGTATTGCAAAGTATATTCGCACAGCCGTGTGTCAACCCATTGCTGAATTAAGCCCTCCGCACGCTGCCTTGGCCATGGGAGTTGTTAACTCTACTTCATTGTGCCGCTCTGTGCGCGTTCAGTGTGGCTGGAAGGCAGTGAAAGGGGACGCGCAGCCCGGGACCCGGTTCGGTCACACCCCCCCACCCCCCGCTCTCTCTCTCTCTCTGTGCGGCACAGCGAAGGATCACAACGAGGAACTGGGGGGGGGGGGGGGGGGGGGGTGAGACCTGCCTTGCACGGCGTGGCGAACTCCTCGCTCATCTTCAGCAGGGGCGCAATCAGCACCACGCCAGCGAACTCAGTCGTGCGCTCGCAAGCCGCCAGCATCGATACGGCACCGCCCTGTGCACACACACGCGGAACACCGCACCCGTCAACCCCTTATCGGCGCCCTACCTTGTTACAGACCAATTCAGACCTTATTGGTCACCCCGTGGTGCCCTTACAAACCTCAACGTTCATCCCACAAAGTCCCATCACAAGGGAGAAACACAAACATTATTGTTTTTGCCCACATTGAAACGGCTGTACACAGTATGGATCTGAAAACTAAATTTCCCTGTACAAGAATCCAGGGGAAACCGTGTGGGTTGACAGGTATGGGACACAGAGACTCCCTCACCTCAACTGTGTAGCCGACGTACAGATCGCAATCTATTACATCAGGCAATACGCCTCCTGCACTGCGGCTGTGACCGTGTGTCCGTCTATACCGGAGGGAGGGGTGAGCTATGATTGTCTTGTATTGTCGACTCATTCTGCATCGAACTACGACCCTTATTTAATAAGAGGGCCCTTGCCTAAAAACATCATGGCAGTTCTCCAACATGATAAGCCACTTCGTTGAGCTATCACTTGTGGCCAGATCGCTTCTGCAAAATAATATCATAGCTTAGTTGGCTTGACATGGTAAGGTAAACATAGTTGACTTATATATATAGATATTTGAAAGTGATTTGTTCACCTTTGCTATACGTTGCACTTCTATGGTGTTTGTTGTATTATTTGTTGTAACGTCCTGGACATCTATGAAAAAGAGCTTTATAGCTCATCGGATTCCTCCAGTGTAAATACATATTCTGATTCTGGTTAAAGCAACCCTGACTTTGCAGATGAGATACTCCGACGAGACAAAGGCGAAAATAAATAAAAACATGCCTACTATGTTGACACTGCTGTCATGGGCATTGCATCTGACATATCCACGGTGGTAGCACGTGAGGCTGTTTGCTGCAGAGCTTTGCAATTCGTATCTGGCAGGCCGTCCTGGTCATCGCCGCCGGTGATGCGTGAACCATGAAATACTCGGTGTGCCGTCTGCTTCACACGTGGACGGTAAAGACCCCGCCACGTCACTGGACATTGTGTGCCGGCATCATCTTCCACATTTGCCGAGTAAAACAAATATAATATAATTACTTGAAAATAACTCAATTGGAATCGCACTTCGCAATATCTCACCCCCCCACCCTTTCCCTCCCCTACCGTGGGACGATTACAGACTGTGCCTGTGGCACCACAGCTCAATTAGTATCACTCGCGAGCGGGCCGTGAGCTGAGAGCGATCGAGCGAGAGCCTCTACCCCTGCTGACCTATATTTGGATTCTGCGTGTCCCCCTCTCTCTCTCTTTTTTACGATCAGAGGAAACAAGAAGATGCTCGGTGTAGTCGGCACTTTGCTCCGTTCATCATTTCGTTTTTTATGCTTTGCTTTATGTAACCCCTCCCCATTTTAACTGAAAGACCAAACAAAATATTTTTTCTTCTTTTTTCTGCTCTCCTTACCCCTTCCCTCTCTCTCTACCCCCTCTCTGCCCCTCCTCTCTCTCAACCCCCCTCTCTGCCCCCCTCTCTCTCTGCCCCCTCTCTTCCTACTCCATTTCGCTCTCTCTCTCCCATGGATTGTTGTCTCCGGGTGCTCCGGTTCCCCCCCCCCCTCACCCTCTGCACATTTAGAATCAACGTGCGCTTGAGAGACTATCTGGCCGCTATAAATGTCCACGCGATGATAAGCCGCTTCGTCGAGCGATCATTGGTGATGGCCAGATCGCTGCTGAAAAAGTGTTACACAGCTCAGAGGGCCTCATGTGGTATTTTTTTTCGTTTTAAATACTGTAGTGAGTGAGCGAACGAGCGACCGAAAGGGCGAGTGAGCGGGCGGGCGAGTGGGGTGTGTGGGTTGGGTTGTGTCAGTGTCGGATGAAGTTAGTGCGGGGCCTGTAGCACATGTTATAAAGGGGCCCTAAATATTTAAAAAAGCAAATAAATATTAAAACGCAAATTTTTATCTTGGATAGTAAAGTAATCGCATTTATTTATTTGCTATACAGCCAGATAATACGACAAATCACTAACCTTAAACACCCAGTCGTTCATAAAAGTTGAAGGCAGTATAGTACTGTAGTAATAGAGCAAGTGCAGAATCACTGAACCGGAATTGATAGCTTGAAAGCATTTAGCGCGGGGCCCTTGAAAGTGCGGGCCCAGTAGCTACTACATATGCAGCTACTTTTGCTACGAGGATAATCCGGCACCGAGGTTGTGTGGATGGATGGGCGCGACGCCTCGCGTGCGTCTTGCCAGGGAGTGTCCGAGCAGGAAGCAGGGCAGGCGAGGGTGCGTGCCACGCACGCGCCGCACGTGCTGGAGGCAGTCGCGCACGTGCATGTCCACGTGGATGTCCGCCAGGCGCACGCGCGTGCTCCGTCCGTGACCCACTGCAGCACGCGCACAGCAAAGCGCACGCACGCGCGTACGTGTGCGTGCGTGCGTGTGTATGTGTGCACGACGTTCGACTTCTTTCGCACCGTACGTAGCGAACCGTGACGATTGGAGGTGCGGGGGAATTACAACACATTAAACGCAAAAAAAGCAGTAGTAAAGAAATCCGTTTTCAAACGATATATCACGCGGGCAAAGACCTCCCGTGTAGCCTTAACAGACTGCTGGGGCAAGTACTGTCAGCGAGCACCTATGAAGGCCGGCACGGCACACGAGGGGGTGGGTGGCCAGCACCACGGCTGGCCGTCTTTATCTCCCGAGTGGCGATATTTACCAGGTACTCATTCGAAGCTGGGTCGAACTAGGGGAGGCCCAGGACCGGTTCAGATAATCGCCACTGGTGTTGGCCGTGAGCGGAAATCGAACCCGGGTCGCCAGGTTTGAAGCGCAACGCGCTAACCGCTACACAACCGCTACCCACTCCTTCACCACACACATGAATACATGCACATAACACCCATGAACACGTGTGTTTATGTGCACACACACGTTCACACATGCAGGCACAATGGCTTTGACATCTGAGTTCGTACAGTTGATATAGTATATCTAAAATAGAATGCCCAATTCAACTAATCACAAAATATTTAATACCCCAAAAAAACAACTTACAGTGAAAATTCTACGTTAGATGATATATTGAAACAATACATAGCAAACGTTGTTTTAAATGTTACATATATATTGAATATTACAGCATATAGATATCCACGTATATTGTGCCAGTAGTGTATTGGGTTAACATTTAAGTTAAAGATTTCCTTTCCAGGAAAAATGAAAAATGGGACACATAAAATATGAAAATATATTGACCCAGAAAAATCCCAACGACTGGAATTTAACAAATGCTATTCTCAATCGGTAAATGTCTCTGCTGCAAAACGGGCGGCGAGTCCAATGTCTATCCATGATGCTGACCGCATTGCTTGGATTCGTAGAGACAGAATCATCGGGCACCACTAGGCCTCGGCAGGGTAAGGTAATTTACCTTTTTTACCGGGTAAAAGGGTAAAGGTAAAAGTGTCGACATACCAAGGGGTAAGGTAAACGGTAGGGTAAAGGTAGCGCGGAAGAATAACCCGGTAAATACCTTATTTAGCGCTCGCTAAAAGCTCTGTGGCGCAGTCCAAGGCCTCCATTTAACATTGGAATTATCGAGAGTATTCTATAGATGAATCAAGCGCTCTGCTTAGCATTTATCTGTTATAAACCTTTTTCACGTGTAGTACCCCAGTAATTACCCTGTAATTGGGTAATTTGTATGGGGTAAGGGTAAAAGGTAGGGTAAAGGTAGGCTCATTGCTTTTGACCTTTTACCTTACCTTGCTAAAGGGTTAAAGGTAAGGGTAGAGTTATTGTATTGTGGTAAGGTAAAAGGGAGGGTAAAGGTAGGCTCGTTGTTTTTACCTTTTACCTTACCGAGGCCTAGGCGCCATAGTGGCGAGATGTTAACTACCTCGCGTGGTATACAGGAGGTCGTGGGTTCGATCCCGACCCTGACGCCTGTTGCTGTATATTTGGAGTTTGTGTGTCTCTCTCCCCGTGGTTGTGTGGATTTTCTCCGGATCCTTCGGTTTTTCCCTCCACATTTAGAATCAACATTATGCGTTTAGAGTATTTGGCTGCTGTAAATTTCCCACGTGATAAGGTAGCTTTTACAAAAGAGCTATATAACTCAGTAGGCCGCACCTGGTAAAATAAATATAGTTTATAGTTGAGTTTACCTCCAGCCATGCCAACGACCAGGTCACTGACGGGTTCCTTTACCCCACGCTGTGTTCAACTGCCAATATTGTGGAGTGCAGTACAAAATTCCTCTACCTCCTCCTTTTCTCACATTGCTTCACTGTGGAACTTCCTCCAATCAACACTTTTCACAAGTTCCTAGAACCTTGCCTAATTCAGGAAAGGCTTTAATTCCTATATGATCTACTATCATTAGTGCTACAAGTTACAGGATTTTTAATTCCTTCCCATCGTCTCTTTTCCGAAATTCCCATAACCTTGCTCGGTTGACAGAAATGGATTGATTCTTAGGTGATGTACTGTGCTATTATTAGTTCATTTAGTTGCGAGATGCTTTACGTTATAGCCCTTTGGGCTTTGGCTCAGTATCTGCGATCTTAATAATAATAAAAAATGAATCAAACCACGTGTTCCGTAAACGATCGACACAGACATCACCAGAGTCAGGAGGATGTTTTAACAATGTGGGGGAAAAAAATTGGGCCCAGTGTATGATGGGAACAAAATTGGAACAAATGAGAAAATTACGGGGTAGGCCGACTGAAAACCACCCGCATCTACAAACGACCTTGAAGAGACAAACCTGTAAATGAAGCGGTGCTGATGGAAATTGACGTGGACCTTGGGGTTTGGGCCTCACGCGACCTCTGCGCTGTAATGAGTTGATTAATGGTGGCGGGCATTCTCGGGTTGGGTTCTGTCACCCCGGCGCTCTGAAATAGCGGGCAGGACTGCCCCCGTTCGAGGAGCACGCGTGGTTGAATTTATGAACATGCATTACATTTTAAACTATGAATGTAAAGCGATATTTTTTGTTGTTAATCGTTGCAAAAAACTGATTTTAATTTAATAACGAATATAAAGAGTATATTATTTTTCGGATTGTGAGGCTTTGGTGTGTGCGTGTCCTGTTAATTGTTGATGATCTCAACAGTGAGTTAATGGTCTCAACCAAGTCACCAGTGACTGCACACAACAACACCATGATGTTAAATTGCGTTTTTCACCACATTTTCCAAATGCCAACTCTTGAGAGAGAGAGAGATAAAAAAACACCCCTAAGTTTGCCCAACGTGGCATCAACATCGCCACTGCATGGTGTGCAGAGACATTGCAGCGCCCCAGGTCACTCTCAGAAGTCCACGCGTGGTGACATCGCCGTGCGTGCGTGGGCCGCTCTCAGTCACTGGGTGATCGCACCGCGCTCTGCGAGAGTTATGAATGGACACTTATTCCTCTTGTGACACCGTGGACGCGATTGTAATGCAAATTTCGAAAAGACAAATTGCTGAAGAGGGCCCAAGTGCAGGCCTACTCGGTTTCGCTCGAATATAATACAATATTTTTGCCGTTTGAAAAATTACGGAAATAGAAAATATGAATTACCTATCGACCCGACGGTTTGTGGGATACATTAGGTCTGATATTCAACGAAAACTAGAGCCATGTTCCCTTCATGTCATCTAGAGAAATGCTAATGAACCAGAAATAAAGCGTAAAGTTATCTGTCGAAGGAGACATCACTGCGTCAGTGAGTGCACAAAGTAGCGTGGCTAACGATGATGAGCTATTTGCTCTTCAAAACTATGAAAATGTCACACGCATTATTCAAAACAATTCTCCAATTAAAAGCATGACACGCCTGCAATGGTCTAATTAACTGACAACTTCAGAGCTGAAATTAAAATGTATCGTTTAATTAATCTTAACATGACCTGAAAAAATAATACACAAAGATTGTATATGTGTACAAGTGCTTTGCAAGAGCGAACTGCATGCAGGAGGAACATTGTCCATGTGTGTTTTGTGTGTGTGTTTAGAGTCAAATCTGACCACTATTTTTGTGTGTGTTTAGAGCAAAATCTGAGCACTCTTTTTGTGGGTATGTATTTGTGTGTGCTTGTGTGTGTTTTTTTGTGTTTTTGTGTGTTTGTGTGTGTGCATTTTTGTGTGTCTGTGTTTTTGTCCGGCAAAACAACCTCCCACCTCCTCATTGGTGCCCGACGGTAACGCTGTGGTGAGCAGTGCCATGGGGGGAGGGTCAATTTAGATTGGCCATTCCCCTCATGGCGTTTGTAGCCACCACAGCGGCCAAAGGGAGCTCTGGACGGGTGTGAGAGGCTGGTAACCCCTCTATCTTCAATTAATTACCACTAAACCACGAACAAAATATACAACTAAGCTTGTGCCGGAGGCCCCGGGGGGACAGGCGTCTATGACGTCTCCTGGCCAAACCCCATTTGGCAGAGCCAGGAGACTGAATCCTTACCCTCGGGGTTCCTTCAGAAACAGCAAAAAACACTGCATGTGACCACGTGGAATGTTCGAACACTCACTGCGGAGGAGAGGCTGTCACTTCTCTGTCGGGAGCTGGACCGGTACCGTTTGGATCTCTGTGGCATTCAGGAGGTCTAGTGGACCGGCTCTGGCTCCAGCCACAATGAGGGGTGGACAGTCGTCTACTCGGGGCAGAAGACTGCCAAACAATAGGGAGTGGCTCTTCTTCTGAACAAAATAATGAAGGGAGCATGGAAGTGTGGCGATGAGGTGTGGGAAGCTGTAAGCCCCAGGCTACTTTGGGCTCGCCTTTCCATTAACCAGAGGCGAGGAGTGGCGGTCGTGGTTACTTATGCCTCCACCGAAGATGAACATCAGTGGAGGGATGCAGGAAAGGCCGATGAGTCAGATGCCTTGTATGACCTGTCACAGGTGCTAGCTAAAGTGGTTCCTCGGGATAGAAGTCATCCTGTTGGGTGACTTTAATGCCCGAGTTGGTCATGATGCTGGCACCTGGTCTGGAGTGATTGAAAGGCATGGGCCAGATCAGCTCAATAACAACGGTAGGAGGCTGCTAGATTTTTCCGGCATTGGCGCATCCACACAAGATCATGGATGCATGCTGGGTTCAAGCAAAAACATCTGCTTGACTATATAGTGACGGAACAGCGGATGCAGGCCCATGTCCTAGACACCAGGACCTACCGTGGAGCTGATCTGCCCACTGACCATTGACTTTTCATCTGTAAGATGGGCCTGCCATTCTTCCACTCCGGTGGTGGGTGTACATCCAGGACCCAATTCAAGCCCATAGTCGCCTGGTCTCAGCTCACTGATGAAAGTTGCAAGCAAGAATTTCATCATTGCTTGCAGTTGGGGTTGGCATCGTCCCCCGCTCCTCCTGATGTCGAGG